CTGTACAGCATGCGCCGCAAACTCGCCCCCAGAAACTCCCGCAGCACGTCCATCCGCCCCTTGCTGCTGCTGCTGCTGCTGCTGCTGCTGCTGCTGCTGCTGCCGCCCCACACGTCAATGCCCTCTTCCAGCAAATTTGCTTCTCGAGTTTGCTGCTCAGCTGCCCCCGGATGAGCAGCAAAAACGGGAGATATCAGCGCCTGCTGAAGCACTGCTGCCGACTCCTCCTTCCGCTGCTGCTGCTGCGCTTGCTGCTGCTGCTGCTGCACTTGCTGCTGCTGCTGCTGCTGCACTTGCTGCTCCTGCTGCTTCGGCTGCACTTGCTGCACTTGCTGCACTTGCTGTTTCTGCAGTTGCTGCTGCGCTTGGTGGAGCTGCTGCTGCACCTGCTGCTGCTGCTGCTGCGTTTGCTGCTGCTGCTGCTGCACCTGCTGCTGCTGCTGCTGCACTTGCTGCAGCTGCTGCTGCTCCTGCTCGGGAACCGAACTAATGGAGCCTCTCAAAGAGTTAATTGAATTGAGAGCTTCTGCTTCTCCGAGCTCCGTGGAAAGCGGCGTGTCTGCCCCTGAGGGCGCGTCGCTCGCTGCTGCTGCTGCTGCTGCTGCTGCCCGCTGCTGCTGCTGCTGCTGCTGCTGCTGCTGCTGCGGGGTGCCCGCAGAAAGAGCAGCAACGACGCAGCAAATGAGGTCTGAGACTGAAGCCTCCGCGAGTTCATATCTGTGGCCCAGTCTTTCTCCTTCTCTTTGCATTTCGCAAACCCACTTTCTGATTTGTCCAAACAACTCCAAAACGGCTTCTTCAGTACCCTCGGGGCCCCCCGGGGCCTCCGAGCAGAGGGCGCGAATGTCAGTGAGGGTTTCCATGGCCGAAGTGGCCGTGAGCTCGAAGAAAGCCACAGCTGTCTGTACACTCCGCTGGAGACCCCACAAGTCCTTTTGAATCTTCTCCGCCAACAAAAACATCGGAGACAAAGCCCCGCCTTGGGGCCCCCAGGCGGGGCCCCTGAGGGACAGCAGCAGCAAGTGAGTGGACAGCAGCAGATGCAGCTGCAGCGGCAGCAGCAGCGGCAGGTGGAAGGGCGGCACTGGCCGGCTGGACTTCAGAAAGCCCGGCAGCAAGGGGCCCACGGAGACTTCGTACGGGTCCGCGGCCCCGCGCACCTCCACTGCGTCTGCTGCTGCTGCTGCTGCTGCTGCTGCTGCTGCTGCTGCTGCTGGCGCGGGGGGGGCGGCAGCGGCGGCGCGCCAGGCCGCCAGCGGGTAGGGGAGGGACGGAGACGCCAGCGGAGGCAGCGGAGGCATGAAGCCGAAGGAAACGCTTCTGCTGCTGCTGCTGCTGCTGCTGCTGCTGCTGCTGTCCAGCGAGAAGCGCACGCGGTCGCTTTCGCACAGCCACCGCGTCATCCAGGGGTGGTAGAAGATCTGCAGCGAAACAAAGGGCACTTTTGGACTTCAAATTGAAAAATAAATCCAAAAAACAAAAAAGAAGAACTTAAAAAGGCCACAAGTCCGAGAAACGGGGATAAAGTCGGAGGATCGCGCGAAGTTGAACTGCAAGAGCCGCCGTTCAAGTTGCTGCTGCTGCTGCTGCTGCTGCTGCTGCAGTGACTGCACTTTAGCGTTTTAATTGAAAATAATTTAATTAAAATGAATTAAAATGCTTTTTACTTCTCTTTCTGTTATTCTTCTGTTCTGGTCCACCACCAGCGCGCGCCGGATCAGATCCTTCGCCTCCTCAGACACCCGGGAAAACCGCGCGTGCCGAAAGTGGAAACGACCTGCAGCAGCAGCAGCAGCAGCAGCAGCAGCAAACACAATTATTAATTATAATTATAATTATAATTATAATTATAATTATTATTATAATTATAACAATAATTATTATTATTATTAAATCCATTCCCTGCTGCCAGGGGAAGGACGCAAGCGAGAGCAGTCGCGCACTGACACTCCCGCAGCAAACGGCAAGGACTCGCACAGAACCGCCAGCAGCAGCAGCTGCAGCAGCAGCAGCAGCTGCTGCTGCTGCTGCAGCAGCAGCAGCAGCAGCAGCTTCACAAAGACAAGCCCAGTGGAAATTGAAGTTAGTTGGATTAATTGGATTTAAATAACTCACCATTCAACACCATTTGCCGCAGCGAACTCGCAGAACCTTCGAAGGGATAAGTCCCTCCCAAGAAGACATAAAGACAAACCCCGAAACTCCAAATGTCCGCCTCGAAGCTGTAGCTGCTGCTGCTGCTGCTGCTGCTGCTGCTGCTGCTGCTGCTGCTGCTGCTGCTGCTGTGGCGGTTCGCGCCGCAGGTGAGCACTGCAAGAAGCAGCAGCAGCAGCTCTAAGTGCCTCTCAAACGCCGCAATGGCTTTTATTTCTTTAACATCCAATTTAATTCATTTAAACAACTCAACAAGTCTGAATTAATTAAAACTTGAATTAATTGAAAAGAATTGATTAAAAACTTGAATTAATTGAAAAGAATTAATTAAAACTTGAATTAATTGAAAAGAATTAATTAAAAACTTGAATTAATTCAAAAGAATTAATTAAAACTTGAATTAATTGAAAATAATTAATTAAAACTTGAATTAATTGAAAATAACTAATTAAAACTCGAATTAATTGAAAATAATGAATTAAAACTCGAATTAATTGGAAATAATTAATTAAAACTTGAATAAATTGAAAATAATGAATTAAAACTCGAATTAATTGAAAATAACTAATTAAAACTTGAATAAATTGAAAATAACTAATTAAAACTCGAATTAATTGGAAATAATTAATTAAAACTTGAATAAATTGAAAATAATTAATTAAAACTCGAATTAATTGAAAATAACTAATTAAAACTTGAATAAATTGAAAATAAATAATTAAATCAAATAAAACGAACCTTCAGGCGCCCAGTACTGCGGAGTGCCCACCATGGAAGTCGCCAAAACTTTGTTGGAAATCAAATTTTTCGCAAGTCCGAAGTCGGCGATTTTGACTTTGTAAAATCCGTCTTCGACTTCTTCCGAAATTAAAATGTTTTCGGGCTTTATGTCTCTGAAAAAAAGAATATTTCCACAAGACACAAGTGCTGCAGCAGCTGCTGCAGCAGCAATTCAAGTCTGCTGCTGCAGCAGCAATTAAAGTCTGCTGCTGCAGCAGCAACTAAAGTCTGCTGCTGCAGCAGCAATTGAAGTCTGCTGCTGCAGCAGGACTACTTAAAGTCTGCTGCTGCAGCAGCACTTAAAGTCTGCTGCTGCAGCAGGACTACTTAAAGTCTGCTGCTGCAGCAGCAGCAGACTTCAAGTCTCTCGGCTTTGCAGTTTGGAAAAATAAAAGTGAAAATTTGCACAAGACAAAAGCTGCTGCTGCTCGCCCAGCTGCAGAGACACTCCGTTCAAGTTGCTGCTGCAGCCGCTTCGGACTTGTCCATTTTTTGAAGTCAAAAGGTTTTTGCATTAATTGAAAATGCATTTTCAAACAAAACATTTCAAACTAAAACACAAAATTACATTAAAATGGCTTTCTCTGAATAAAATAAAAGACAAATAAAGACAAAGGAGGGACTTGAAATTAAAAAGAAGTAAAGAAGAATGAACTCGCAGGACTTCAAGAAATGAATCAACACAAGTGCAAAGACAGCAAAGAAGGGGCAAAGAGTCCATAAAATTGAATAAAAAGAATTGATAAACGCCAAATGGTTTAATTAAATGAAAATAAAATAAAAATAAATAAAAAGAAAATAAAAAGAAAGAAAAGAAAGAAAAGCCTCGAAGCCGACCGCCAGTGCAAGTTTGCAAACGCGCTCTCCCGCGCGTCCAAGACCCGATTTCGCGCGATTTAAAGCAAAAAAAAGCAAAAAAAAGCAATTAAAAAGAATAAAAGCAATAAAATTAATCAAATTAATAAAAATAATTGAAAGAATTGAAGAAATGCGGAGAAAAAGTGGAAAGCTGAACTGCTCACCGGTGGATCACGCCGCGCTGGTGCATGTACACCACAGCAGCCAAAACCTGCTGCGCCACGAAGCAAGCCTGCGGCTCCGCAAAAGATCCTTTTTCGACAATTTTGTAAAACAATTCTCCTTCTTTCATGAATTCCTGGACTATAAACAGAGAGTCTGCAGTCTCCACGAAGTCCACGAAGCCCACGATGCACGGGTGACGCAGCTGCTGCAGGTGCTGCGCCTGCAGCAGCACCAGCAGCAGCAGCAGCAGCAGCAGCAGCAGCAGCAGCAGCAGCAGCGAGCAGCAGCAGCAGCAGCAAGCAGCAGCAGCAGCAGCAGCAGCAGCAAGAGCGCAGCAGTCGAATGCTCATTTTCTCTTTGTTCTTGTTTTTGATTTGTTTTGGTAAAGACTTTCGAAATAATTTTACTTTATTTATTTCCAATTCAAATCCAAGTGCTGACAAAAAGATTTGTTTTAAAAACAAAACTCAGAAGTTTAAATAAATTGCAAAAGAAAATAAAATTAATTATTTGAACACAAACGGACTTTAAAAGAAAAAGAGAATTAATTCGCTTAATAGTTTAAATGCATTTAAAAGAAATAAAAACAAAAATTAATTTAATTTATTTATTTCAAACTTTTGCATTCAACACAAATTAAACTTTATTTAATTATTATTTTATACTTCAAAACAAATGCATTTTTAATTGCAAAATAAAATTATAAAAATGCATTTTAGAAGAATTAAATTAATGAAAATGCATATTTTAAACATGCAAATTAAAGCAGCTGCTGCTGCTGCCATTCATTAATCTGCACGCAGGCCACCATTTGCTGCTGCTGCTGCCAATGCTGCTGCTGCTGCTGCTAATGCTGCTGCTGCTGCTAATGCTGCTGCTGCTGCTGCTACGGGACGGCTCCAGCCACTGCTGCTGCTGCTGCTGCTGCTGCGGGCCGTCCTCACCATCCCAGCTTCAGCATACAAAACGCGGAGACGCCTCCCCAGCAGCAGCAGCAGCAGCAGCAGCAGCAGCAGCAGCAGCAGCAGCAGCAGCAGCAGCAG